TTTTATCAGATTGAAACACACAATACTAAAGATTCAGTTTTTCCCATAATCTATAGATTCACTGTAGTCCCAATTTAAATATCAGCAGGTGTGTAAGTTGACTATTTTATTCTAAAATTTAGAGGGGAATGAAAAGGTCAAGAAGAGCCAAGACATCATTGAAAAAAAAAAAGTAAAAGGACTTTTAAACATATTCATAGTTTTTTTTTAAATAACTGAACTTATAAATATTTTACAAGCATTTAAAACTTTTGAGAAATGCTCAATATCTTAAATGTGAATCTCATGCAAAAATGACATCCAACTGAGCTAGAATGCAAAAATGCTGCAAAAAATGGGTGGAATGAAATAGATATGGTAAAACTAAAACAAATTAGACTAACACCAAAATTAAACTCTAATTTCTCAAAGGCTTTTGAAATCATCCCACATGACTTGTCATGCTATAAATTTTCTAAGTAGGTAAAAGAAACAGTATTTTGGGGGACCTGATGATTGGTCATGTATCCAACCCAACGTCTAGGAGAGGCCAGGGCTGGAGTTATGATTTTGAAATCAAACAACATACATGTTGGAAGTTAATGCCCTGTGTATGGAACCACAGTGGAAAAAGTGAAAAGTCTGGAAATGGAAAGTCAAAAGAAATGTGAAAAATAGCAACATTTACGGTGAGCTAAGAGCAAATCTGTGAAGGAGACAAAAAAGGAATAATCAGAAAAGTAGGAAGAGAATCAGGAGAAAAAGTGTCAAGGAAATAGAGACTCAGGAAGTTGTGGGCAGTTAGGTGTCAAATATAAACAGAAAAAGTCAAGTAAAATAAAGTTGTGAAAAGTGTCTAGATCTAGTACAAAAGATGTTGGAGCCAACCATCTTGAGAACTATTTCAGTGATGCGACAGGATAAGGAGGACAGGAATAAGCTGGTTTCAGAGTGAAGAGGAGATGGTACAATGGAGGCCATGAATAGAGACTCTGGTTTGATCAAGAAAAGCCAGCATATATAGCAATCAAGAGGGAAACAGGGTGCCAGGGGTTTTTAATGTTTAATTTTAAGATGGAAGATACTGGAGCACATTCTAAGTTGCAGGGGAAGAGCCAGTCAAGAACGAGAGGCTGAAAAGGCAGGGGATTATTAATAGAGAACAGGTAGGCTATAGGTTAAAAAGAAACATAGATACTGATCTTGATCAAGACCCTTCATTTTCGGAGACTGGGGTAGAAGTGGTTATAATGGGCACAGATAAAATTTTGTAGGTGAGGGAAGAAGAAATACATCAAATAGGACAGGGCTTCCTAATCTTCTTTCACAGCATGGCATAGAAAATGATCACATATGGGGATAAATGAATGAAGCTGTTTGCAGCTGAAAGTGACGGACCTCAAAATTTTATAGGTCCTGGTTGGGATATACTTGTATGCATGTAACAAAAAATAGCTGCCAGGGCCTTCATCAATGAAGACATTTAAATATCTCAGTTAATTAGAAGTCTAGAGTTAGGTGGTTCCCAGGTTTGTACGGTGGATCTACAATGTCATCATGAACCCAGGGCCTTTCCATTTTTCTCTTCTGCTACCTTGTTTGTTGTTTTTGATCCTTAGGTTTGTCACCTCATGGTCAGGCATCCTATCTATATCATTGTCCAAATTAGGAGGAAAAGATGAAGAGCCTTCCTTTTTATATAGGAGAAAAACTTCCAAAAATCCCTCCTGACCTTCCCCCAGCAGACATATTTTATTTTATTTTTTGGCTAGAACAGGGTCAGGTGACTACATACTAACTACACGAAAGTGAAGGAAAGCATCAGTGGGATGCAGGCCAAGAGAGGAGGAGGCAGGAGGTCAGGAAGAACTTGTCAATCTAAGGCCCTTGATCTTTTCTCCATTACCCTCTTTAGGAAAATCTTCAAAGTGTTTATTGCCTGTTATGTCAGCTTTAGGCATCACTTTGGTAAAATAAGCTGGTTAGGTATTCTCATATTTGTGGATTTCATTATTCTTGTTACTTGTCTTAAACACTAGGCATCATCATCTTCATTAGTAAACTTACAGAATAAGTTTACTGGATATAGTTCTTAGTGGTTCTCAATTTTCAAAGTTATATTTCTCTATGTGTTTTGTTTTGACACTCTTAAAGTACTGAATGGCATTTTTTTTTTTTTTTTTGGAGGGAAAATGGATCGTGTGTTTGTTTAGAAATCATTGCTCCACTGGGTTACTAAATTCTTTCTAAAATGTTAATGCCCTTCCAATTGTACACATAGGTATAAGCAAAGTCTAGGGGGAAAAATTAAAAACAAAAACCTACTTTGAGATGTTAACATGTTTGGTGACAAATTTCATCTCCCAGAAAATGTTTCATTTAATTCAGGAGAATAAAAGAGTTTAATTAAATCAGGGAGTAAAGATATAAGACAACTAATGAATTGAAGGGAAAAGAGGGAAAGCTTGTCTTTACTGATGTATACCAGGCTTTAATTTTCTTTCTAGCTTATGATGTAATATATTTAGAACAAGGAAGCAATCTCTAGATGTTTATCATGTGCCAGGAAAGGAAGCGCTTCTTTATTAGAATTAAGTAGATTAATGGCTTTATGTTAAATATTTTATTGGATTTGTTAGTGGAAAGTTCAGTAGCATAAGAAGAAACTTTACTTTCCAAACACATTTTTTTATTATTAGACAGTCTGTGTTAATGCTGTGCTGGAGAAGGTAAAGAAAATTTTCCAAGAAGAAGAATCCATAAGGCAAAACAGAAAGGAGAGTGAAAATCTTAGAAAAGCCTTTTCAGAGCCTGTGCTTTCTGAACCTACGTTTGATGAAGGTGAAATCAAAGCAAAACCTTACAGGTCATTACCGGAGAAACCAGACAGTATTTCGGATTGCTCCAAACTTCTTGCCAATAAGTTGAGTAACAAGATCCAGGTTTTACATTCTGTGTTTGACCAATGCACTGAAATGAATGAATGAGCAAATCTGAACATAAATATCATTGAGTGGAGCTTAAGAGCTATCTATCTAATCACATTTCAACTGACAAAACTAAGAAACTAGTTTTCATATACTAATGCTCTGCTTTAGAAAAGGGGTAGAGAACTACTAAAATGTCATTCTCAAGTACTTATATAGTGGAGAAAATAAAATGAATCTTGATGTAGAATTTATGTATGACTATGATTTTAAAGTTTATTTATATATTTTCAGAGAGAGAGAGAGAGAGAGAGAGAGAGAGAGAGAGCGAGCAAGCACGTGCACATACATGAATAAGGGGCAGACAGAGAGGGAGAAAATCCCAAGCAGGCTGCGTGCTGTCAATGCAGAGCCTAACATAGGGCTCAAACTTATGAGATGTGAGATCATGACCTGAACCAAAATCAAGAGTCAGATGCTTAACCGACTGAGCCACCCAGGTGCCCCTATATGATATTTTTTAATGAACAAGAAAGTGTACCCTTTGGAGGGTTAGACTTTATGCTATGGTTTATAACATGGGTATATTTATAATGCATTTATGTTTTTATTACTGATTTGTTTAAAGTATCTTTCCAATTACAGTTGGCCCTTGAACATGGGTTTTAACTATGCAAACCTACTTATATGCATATCTTTTTAAATAAATACATTATAGTACTGTAAATGTATATTCTCTTCCTTATGATTTTAATATTTTCTCTAGCTTACTTTAAGAATACAGTGTATGATACATAGAATATTCAAAAAGTGTGTTAATTGACTGTTTATGTAATCAGTCAGGCTTCTGGTTAACAGTAGACTATTAGTAGTTAAGTTTTGGGGGAGTCCAAAGTTTTATGTAGAATTTTGACTGTGAGGGGGATGGTACCCCCATCCCCTGCATTGTTCAAGGATCAACTGTATTTATCTGGAGGGAAAACACACTCTGTATCAAAATGATACATTACTTTTTCAGAGATAATAGGGATTTTTTTTTTTCTATATACAGGCTGCATAGTTTGAAACTGCCTGTTATCAATCCTTTTATAACTCATCGGTAGGAGTTGTAAGTCACGTATAATAAATTTATAAAACACAATATTGTTTCAAAATCTTACAGAAGATTTCTGTATGTAAGGATAGAATATGATATTTTTTATTTCCAGATTTAGAGGGACAAATTTAGAACCAGAAATCAAGTTAATGTTACTCATTGTTGCCACTGGCTTCTGAGAGAGAATGCTTCTGTAACTGGTCCTGCAAATGAGGGCCACTGTTTTGCCTGCAGAAGGTACTTAGGTTTCTTCCATGTGTTTTAAATTCTGGACACATGTTAAGACCTGATTGGTCATTGGAGGATCAGCACCTGATATAATAGGCGAAGATGTACCCATCCAGTGATGGTACATACATTTCCTGTACCTGGTAAATAGCTACTGCCATGAACAATATTTACAGAAAGTCCAGCCCTGGCTTTTTAGTAGTCTGAGAAATGAGTAACAAGTGTTATATTACCTCATGTTACCCATATTCCATCAGAAAAGGAAATGTAATATGTAGCAAAGGGCTCTGTAAGCAGACCCTTAATGATAAGTATTTTAGTCACTTATTATTTTTACAATAACCAAGGGAAAGAGTCCAGGTGGCCCCCTTAGAATGTTAAGTATTATGTTTGGAGCCTTAATTCAATCCTGTGCCACTAAGAAGATTACTGTGCTTTTGAGACAAAGTTCCAATTTTGACAAACAGCTTTTCTCACAGAATTCTCTGAATTCATAATCTGTTCATCCTGGTTCTGGTCCTTCTTATTCTTATATTCTACTATATGCTGCCGCATTTTAGATGATAAGCACCCAGAGTGTTCTGGTACAGTGTGGCACGAGGCAACCAGAATAGTGTTGGCCATAAATAACTGGCATGTAAAAACAGGGTGGACCAATTTAACATCAACCCTGCCTGTGAACTCAGCAGAAAGGACTCCGAGGAAGAACATCCTATATCTCTTCTCTGTAACATTTACACGGAATGCTTAGTTCTACACACATCACGAAATTCTGAAAAAAGAAGGAACACCTTTATTTGACAATTTCATCTAGGCACTCCCAGTACTTTGGCTCACTGAGTAAGAGACTTCATGTCCTTCATGTCTGGGAAGCAGCTGTGTGTATCTTCCTTACTTTAGGAGTGTCTGCCTTGACCAGAGAGAAACTGAGCCAAGACTTATGTGGTTTCAATGCGCAGTACATGAGGATTAAGGAGTGCACTTGTGACAAGCACCAGGTGTTGTATGTAAGTGTTGAATAAGTTTCTTATTTTTAAATGAAGCATGTAAATCAACCCCATTTTGGAGACATTTTTAAAGTATAAAAAGTCTGCTATGTATTTAGAAATATTGAATAGTTGAGATTTAAGTATTTCAGTGTATTTAAATTTTACTTTTAAAAAGTAAGAATAATAAATAGGGGAGATGGGGAGTGTGTGGAGGTATCAGTGAAATAAGAATGGAAATAAGAATGGAAGAATGCTGGTAATTGTTGAAGCTAGGTGATGAGAATTTGTTACACTATTTTGTTTAGTTTGTATATATTAAAACTTTTCCAAGATAAAGTCTACTACATCAAAATAAGGATTACCCCCCTCCCCAATGGTTCTTATTAGATCTTATTTTTACCTTTTTCAATGTGGTTACTGCAAATTATTTTCACCCTGAAAATGCACATTCCAAACCTATAACCTTCAGGTTCCAATCAGTCCAGAGGATTGGGTGAAATGTATTCTATAGATCTTAACAATAATCCTTACATCACTTTGAACTACTCAGATATATGTGATTTTTTTAAAGTAAGTAATAAATGTGCCTGTTTTGGGAAAATTAATCCTCTTTGGTATTGAAGCAAAGTTATTCTAAAAATATTTTCCAAACACACACACCATTTTTCATTGCCATATAATTTTATCAGAAAGAACTCTGAATTACTTTGAAGTCCCCAGTGGCATAAAAATCAGAGTCACACTTAAAAGGTTCTTTAGAAAGAGTCACGTAAATGTTCCCATTGTCCACTGTCACTGTATGAATCCTTTGCTTTACTCCTTTGGAGCACCACTCAGGTTTTGCTGATGGATCTCTAGGGTTTATAGACTGGTATAGTCCTTCTCCTGTTGCCAAAGTAATTTTGTATTTATGCCAGGGGCAAACTATGCATGGTCGTCCGTCAAACTCCTGGGGGAGGAAATAAATGATTTAATAGTCTGACATTTCCAACATTCACAATAAATCTCAGACTCAGAACAGATTCTATTGCAGAATAACCAGGTTAAAGAACAGGCCAGCTCCTCTTTTTTCCTTCCATTTACAAATTATTCAGCATAAGGCAGAACCTAATCTTAGCAGTCATCAGGTCCCTTTTGCATTTGATTAGAAACCCAGCGTGTTAGAACTGTATCAGAAAATGAGCTCAGGCAACTACACCATGTGACTGAAGCTATGCCGTTATGTATTAGATGTGAACGTCACTTCCTTGACAGAAATGGGACAAGGGCATCAAGTGCTTCTAAAGGAATTTCCTCTAGCCGCTGGGAAGACAGTAAGCTTCAAATATAAATTTAAGAAGGTTACTAAAGGCATGAGTGTATACGTTAACTGAAGAGTGATCTGTGACTCAAAGTAGTCAATTCTCAACTTTTTAACTGTCTTAAGTCAGTGGTTCTGAAATTTTAAACAGCATGGGAATCACCTGGATCTTGTTTAAGTTCAGTAGGCTTAGGGTAGGGTACAAGAGTCTGTGGTTCCAACAAACTCCCAGGTGACGCCAGTGTTGCTGGTCTATGGATCACACTTGGAGGAGCAAAGTCTTACAGCTCTCATTACAGTCCAAAACTCAGGGAAATTCTTTCACATTATCATCACCACGTGCTTACCTTTTTCTCTACACCAGAAGTGCAGGAGTGCTGATATTGTACCCCCACAGAACTGTCAACAAACATTCACATTTTCATAATTCATACATTCATGTTCATAATGTATGTCCTTTAACGTGAGGACAGGTGTGGAAATAGGTAGATATGAAGTGTAGAGAGAGTGGAACACTAAGTTTAAGCATTCATTTTGTACTGTTCAGGGAGGAGAGGGAGGGAAGGAGGGAGAGAGATCAGTTTTATGAAGTAGAAAACAAATTAGGCAGCTAGCTAGTTTGGAAGTAAGACAGTTCCCCCATTCCCTCCTCAGATAAGCCTTTTTAAAAAAAAAAAATTTTTTTTAAATACACACATTTTTACTACATTATACAGGTAATATATAATCACCGAAAAAAATCAAACTGTGCAGTAAAAAGTAAAAAGTGAATGTTACTTTTTATTTAAAAAATTGGATCTCATTAGACCTATTATTCTATGGCTTGCTTTTTTCTGCTCAAAGATATACTGCTGACATCCCTCCATACCAACACACAAAAATCTGCCTCATTAATTTAGTGGCTGCACAGTTTTCCACAGCATGGCTATTCATAGCTTATTGAAACTGTTTCCTATTGTTAAAACATTTAGGTTGCCTTCAATTTTTCATTATGACAAATAATGCCACAGTAAGCCTCTCCTTTATATATTCTTAAACATTTGTGCAATTAGGGGCGCCTGGGTGGCGCAGTCGGTTAGGCGTCTGACTTCAGCCAGGTCACGATCTCGCGGTCCGTGAGTTCGAGCCCCGCATCAGGCTCTGGGCTGATGGCTCAGAGCCTGGAGCCTGTTTCCGATTCTGTGTCTCCCTCTCTCTCTGCCCCTCCCCCGTTCATGCTCTGTCTCTCTCTGTCCCCAAAATAAATAAACGTTGAAAAAAAAATTAAAAAAAAAAAACATTTGTGCAATTATATCTGCAGGGTAGATATCAGAGTATAATTGTTAAGTCAGAAGACATGCATACTTCTCATATTTATCTGTGAAATAGTTTTCTCTACATTGTAGGACTGTAAATTCCTAGAATATTAGCAATTATACTCAAAGCATTAAAAGACAGTTCAAACTCAAATACAATTTTTTTGCGTACAGAATGAGACAATATAAATAAAACGTGAATTTGTAGAGAATAGATTTTACATACCTCTATTTCTCCCAAATGTAAAGGCCCTCCTGAGTCTGAAAAGGAATTGAATATTACATCTAGTCACTAAAAAAAAAAAACAAAAAAACAAAAAAACAAAAAACACCTGAAATTTTGATAGTTTTGTGGTTAGTAAACAAATACAAGGTTTACAAATGAAAAATAAACTCTTACGGTAACAGCGAATATCCATCGCATGATATTCTCCTTTGTGGTAGAAAATGACCACTTCTCTATCATGGACAACAGCTGTCATTCTTTTAGATTTTTTAATGTCATCTTCTCTGCCAACACAGACAGGAGAATATTCCTTCACTTCAGGATCTTGTTCAGAGCCATCAAGATCCATGCTAGTCGAACAAAACAAAAAGCAAGTAGTCTTCACTAGTTTGGCTATGGAGAGAATCATACTGTAATAGACGTTTGATTTCTCTAAGACTGATGGATGGTGTTTTTGTTTTTGTTTTTGTTTTTTTTTGGTAGCTATACAAAATAAAACATTTATACACACTGGGTCATGGTCATAATTTCAAGTTAGAGACTCTGAAAGCTTGCCCAAATTAGGGAAGATTCCCCACTTTGAGGCTGGACTCATATTAGATTCATTTCAATGGGTAAGGTGTATATTTCAAAGTCCCAAGACCCAAAGAATTAAGTTTCATTGTCCTTTTATTCCCTATCAATTCAATGCTAAACAACAGCCAGTTACCAGTGTTGTTTTCAACCTTCTTCTGAAGGTAGGATTCTTTGATAGTCTGAACAGTCTTGGATCTCTTGGTTGAGATCTTGGTAGGGTGATTCATTTGATTTTGCCTGGAGTGAACAGCCAGTCTTAGAAATCAACCAGATAACTACTCTGCCATAAGGAGATAGGTATGAATGGGCATATTACATTTTCTTAACTCAGAAACTGTCATTACTTTCTTCTGCCTTGTTGGGAATTCAAAGAGATGGCTTTCTCTTCAATTAATTTATAGAAGTATGTAATATATAGAAGTATATATAGAAATATATGTATATATATTTCTAAACAAAGAAGTTTTAGTAGAGAATTTCCAGGTACTCTGAATATATTTTTTCTCAGCATAGATGTTTAGGCTACTTCTTTGAAAGTAGCTTTTTCAAAGAGACCTTTGTATACTTTAAGAACACAGTCATAGTCTGTTAATTCCATGTGAGAAGGAAACATCAAGATACATCAGTGTCAGGAGTGTCAGCCTCTGTAGAGGATTTTCCTGAGGGCGTCCCATAGGGGGAGTATTTAAGTTTTATTCTATGACAGTTTCTGGAAAAAACAAAAGAAAACAAAAAACTATATATCCTGTTTTGCCAAGAATTGGTGTATTTTTCTTTCTTCACTCCTAACCCGAAATCTTTCTTCTTCTCGCCACCCTCTTTCCATTAGTGTTGTAATCACCAATTTTTCTGGAAACATTCCTGCTTTTCCTCTCAGGATAGAGATTGTGGTGGTCTATAACTTTCAAAAAGTATAAAGAACCACATATAATATTACCTTAGGGTTGACAAACAGCTTTCTTCCCCAGGCAAGAGCATATTTTGAATCTTTGCATGTAATGAAATAAAAATCACAAAACGCAAACTGAGACCACTCAAAGAGTTTTACTTTTTGTTTCTTAATAATGCATTTTTGGATATTCCTTCATGGTTTCTGCCCTCTGCTGGAGAATGGGAACCTTCCACTATCCAGACAATGTCCCGCTCCACAAGTGGCATAAGGCAAGCTCACTCCCCAATGTGAGTGGACAGAAAAGAGGCTGCCTACAGCATTTGGGCATGAGATCTTGTATGTACCCAGACCATTACCTTGCAGCAGGGCTACTTCAACCCCTTTATTATATGAAAGAAACTAAAAGTTCATGGTAACATCTAATTACAACCTACTTTTTCTTTGGATCATTGATGGACAAATTTCTCTGTAATCTATTTAGGGAGGAATATATGTCTAAAGAGTAAGCGGGAAAATTTCTCAAGAAGGGACTAATGACAGTAATCTTTAGCACAGAATTACAAAATGAAAATTTCAACAATGGATCTTCAGATTCTCCTTTTGCAAAGTTCTCTTTTCTTGTCAGAGATTATCATTCATTTGACAAATATTTTCTCAACACATACTATGTGACTAGCACTTCAAGGAAGTAAAAGAGATAAGGTCTCTTTCTTCTAGATATTATATTCTAGTTGGTGAGACCAACAAATAAATACCAGTAAACAAATACACAAATGATATAATTACACACTACCATAACAACCATGAATAAAATGAACTGTGTAATATGAGAGAGAAAAGGGGAGGCCATTTGGCAAAGAATAGGCTGGGAAGATGATTCTGAAATGACAGTTGAGCTAGAACCTGAAAAATGCAAATGAACCAGACATTCTAAGAGCTGAAGGAAGAGCATTCCAGGCCGAGGAACAACAAATATGAAAACCTGAGGAAAGGAGACTTGGCTAATGAGGAACAGATAGGAGACCGGACCATAACAAGAGAGCTTGGTGAAACAAACAGGAGCCAGGTCATGCAGTACTGTGTGTGAATTTTATTGTAGGGTCAAAGGGAATGCGTTAAAGGGTGTAAAGCAGGCAGAGATGACATGATCTGTTTTTAAAAGAATGCCCCGGCTGTGTGGACAATAGATTGTAGCCAAACAAGAGTGGAAACACAGAAATCAGAAAGCTATTGTACTGATCCACAGGATAGAATATGGTGGTTTAGACCAGGGTGTTGATTTTGTGGGGGTGAAAAAGTAACAACAACAACAACAACAATAGCAGTAGCCACAATTACACTGTGCTAATTAAATGTCAGGTACTGTTTTAAGACTTTACATTTACTTAACTCATTTAATATCCTAACATGTTACTATAAAAAGGTATTATTTTAATTGTATAGTGAGGAAACTGAGTAAGACCAGAGAGGTTGGGCTCGTGAACAGGAATAAAGGAGCTACAGAAAATAAATAAGGGTAGCTCCCAGGTTTTAGTTTTGTGCAACCAGCGAGATTGTAACTATGATAGGAAAGACTGAAAATGGAATGGTATTTCCAGAAATGGAAAATCAAGAACTAGCTACATTTTGCACATACTGAGTTTGGAGTAACTAAAAGACTCTAGACAGAGATATCATGTCTACAGTTGGATATATGAAACTAGAGTTGAGAATCACAAGAGAGAGAAATTTGAGAGTTGAAAAGTTACAGAATTCAATGGAGTAAGTTGGAGAGGGAGTACAGACAAGTCTAATATAATTCCTTAGGTGCATCAACAGTTAAAGATCAAGTGGAAGAGAGCCTGAAGAGAGGCAAGACCAGTATGTGTCCAATCTACTGTTAATCAAATGACATTCACTTGGTGTTTACTTTTCTGTCCTACATTTTCCTCAAATGGTAAGTAAGTGGTGATCCACTGCCTGCAGGAAGGCAGGCAATGAGGTGAAATCCATTCTAATGCTGGCCACCTCTATGTGTATTACACAATACATGAAGAAAATATGGACTTCCTAGGAAATTGTCCCAAAAGGTTGGTTCTTTCATGAAGGGTTGGACTATTTTTCTCCTTGTAATTTTCCTTATTTCCTTAACCTCCACTCTCCTAGAAATCAAATAGTGGTTAAATTCCAAGTAAGAGTTTACATCCAGAATTATTATTACTACTTTTCTTCCTAGTATCTTTAAAGTTTGTCTATTAGATTCTTAAATACCCTTTCGGCCAAATATAGAAATTGAATGGTGAGAAAAATAAGACTAAGAAATCTTTCAATATTGTTCATTTTGAGACTGGCTCTCTGTATAGGTCTGATCTAGCCCTTCAATCAAAATAATGATTTATATACATCACTGTATGACATTTAGGAGCTATTATTTCAAAATTAATCACACAATCAGCCTTAAAAATGGCTTATATGTTCATTTTCAATCCAAAATAACTCTTCAGTCATAATGTCTCAATAGATGTTTATGTTGACACAAGCCTTCCAAAACAAAATGTAACAACCATTCTAAAGGTTGTGGCAAGGCTAGGTTTTACTCAACATTTCCAGTTTCAGGTCCATTTTAACAATTTAATTATTTTATGGATTTCATCAGATTGGGAAATGAGAAAGCTGCAGATAACGTGAGAGGTATCCAACTCTGCCTGATACAAGATAAGGAATTACATATAGAAAAGGAAAGGAAGTGAATCAGAGTGATGGCCCATGATAGTTGTAGAGACCCAGATGCTGTTAAACAAAGGAAGGTTGCCGTGGAATGCTCATGGTGTTAAACAGAATACAGTTGCCTGTAATTTAAGATATTTAACAAAATTATAAATCACATGTCAACTTCAAATATTCTAATTTTAGGAAGATGACCAATCCTTCCTAATCCACCTCCTCTTCAAATACAGTAATATTGTCATATTTCAAAGGAAGTTATACAGAGTGATGATGTAACTTTCCTTGAGAACAGGAAACTGCCATTTTGATTTCACTCATCTTAGGTTAACATTTTACATATAAATGCATATATGGAACTTTTTAAAAAATTTCTTTAAATGTTTATTTATTTTTGAGAGAAAGAGAGCACACACGAGCAGGGGAGGGACAGAGAGAGAGGGAGTCACAGAATTCGAAGCAGGCTCCAGGCTCTGAGCTGTCAGCACAGAGCCTGACGTGGGGCTCGAACTCATGAACCAGGAGATCATAACTGACCCGAAATTGGACGCTTAAATGAATGAGCCCCCCCAGGTGCCCCATGTGGAACCTCTTTAAAAAGGGCACTTGGACCTTGATGAATATAGATTAGAATGGTCATAAGCTGTAGACCCAATCTCCTCCCAACAAGAGGGAATATGTGTTTTATGGCAGAGGCTCCAGGCTTTCTGATGGCTTTTCTAAATATTTATTTAATCTTGTATGACTGATTGATTGGAAGTCTGGAAATGTTGGGAGAAAAAGAGCATGGATAAGTTTGTAAAACAGAAATTATTATTTAGAAGTAAAAAATCTCCATGTGAATGTGTTAGGAGAGAGCCTTAGATGAAGGACTTCACAGGCTACTGTTTTGAGAAGGGTAGTTCTGAGCCACAAGGAACATAGATACTAGATATTACATCAGCCTGCGCTCCAAAACTGGTGTAGGATGAGGGATGTTTGTGTGTGTGCATGTGTGTTGATGAGGAGAGGCAGGAAGGAACTTTGAATTCAAGGTATAAAGGAAAGCATTACACAAATCAATCTTAGGAAATTATAGAAATGTCAAGTCTGTACTCTGAAGTTTGCACTGTTAATTCCTGCTCTAACTAACCTAGTTGCTTTTTACATGATGGAAAAACATAACATATGCTATTTTAAAAAATTATTTCACAATAAGTAAATCAGACTGAGAAAGACAAATACCATGTGATTTCACTCAAATGAATAAACAAAGAAACAAAAAGCAGAATCAGACCTATAAACACAGAGAACTGATGGTTGCCAAAGGGAAGGGGGTTAGGGAATGGCAAAATTGGTAAGGGGAGTGGGAGATACAGACCTCCAGTTATGGAATGAATAAGTCATAAGAATAAAAGGCACAGCAGGGAGAATACAGTCAATAATATTGTAATAGTGTTGTATGGTGACAGATGGTAGCTACACTTGTGGTGAGCACAGCTAACATACAGAGAAGCTGAATCACTATGTTGTACACCTGAAACTAATGTAACATTGTGTGTCAACTATACTCAAATTAAAAAACTGAAAATCATTTCACAATAACAAAAAAACCCCAAAAATATAGTATTTTTAAGAAAAGGCAATGAGGGCCATGCCATAATTTCCTGTATTAGCTGTGGCTAACAGAAGGCTGGATTACCACATCCCTAAACAATTATCTTCTTTTGCTTGATACTGGCAGGTACCCAAAGCATACAAATTGCTCAGGTGGTAGTATTTACTCCACAGCATTGGATGTGCAGCCTTTATCACATTTTGTGACAGAACAGACAGAGGGGCAATAAAGATAAGATAAAAGGGAACAGATGAACTGAAATAGGCTGAAGAAAAAAACAAGAAATGTGGAGTTTGCAACACATATAACCGACTAAGGATGACGACTCAGAAAGTATGAAGGACTTTACTATACCAGTAAAGTGCAAACACACACACACACACACACACACACACACACACACAGAAAAATGGGCAAAAGACACAAACATTGCATAGATGAGGAAGTGTAAATGGCCAGTGATTACATGTAAAGATGCTCAACCACATCAGAAGGAAAAAGTAAAAGAAATGCAAAGCAAAGTCACAAATGGGATACTATTTTCTATCCAATTGAGTGACAAAAATTATAGCAAGTATTGGTGAGGATATGGAGAAATTGATAGTGATGACATTAATTAGTGCTACCACAATTTGGCATGACCTAGTAAAGTCGAACATATTCACGATCCATTAATCCCCCTTTAAGTACACTCCAGAGAAACATGCAGAGGTACACTAAGAGATAATCACAGGAATGGTTATAACAGCAAACGATGGGAAAAAACTCAAAATGCAACAACAGTAGAATGGAGAATTTTCACATTCATTCAATGGAATGCAATGTAGCAGTAAAAAATGTCTGGATGCATCAAGTTGGATTAACTTCAAAAATATAACTTTAAAGGAAAACAATTTTTAAAGAATTCGGAGTATGCTTCTATTTTTACCAAGTGCAAAAGTGGGCAAACCAAAACAATATATCATTGATGGATACATGTAGATAGAGTAAATTTATAAAGAAAAGCAAGGGGATAGAAAACACGGAATTTCTTAAATGCCTAAAAATGTAACATTTAGTCTTATATTTAAAATTACTCTTTTAGCTTATAAGTTGTATCCTACTTTACATTTATGTAATAGATGATCCAAAAACCAAGAAACGGGATAAAATGGCACTTTCTATCCTCAGAAAACGTGCCTCTGCAGAAAGATCATGAATGGACTGAGAATTTTGTTCAGCTTCTTTAAAAACTTGGCACTAGAAAGGGGAAATAAATGAATAGTTTTCTTTGTCCAGGCAAAAAGTTAGAAAAGAAATACTAGTATCAAGCAAGTAAAATATATGAAATGTGCAGCATGAAAAGTTAATTAAGTTCTCCAGACTTCCAAAGAAATGAGAACCCAATACAATCCTTCCTCAAGTTTCAGTCTCTTCGAACATACAGTTTTAGCAGGGTTTGCACCCCAACCAAGGAAAACTGCAGTGAACTTTGCACAAGCTGATAAGAAATGAGCAGAGAACGCTGGGCTAAATGATAAAAGGTTTCAGAGAACTATGATTACAGTCTTGCTTTTTGCTTAGGAAAGTATTATCATACCCTTCAAATAATGGTCATATGTATTTATGATAGCTAGTAATATTTATAATTAACATCCACATTATTCTTAATTAAATATTATGAATATCATGGTCCATTCAGACAATGATAAGAGTCAATGTATTCACCTTAGTTACTGTTACTTTGATTCATATGCTCCCATACATTTCCTCATTTTGAGTCTACTTTAAGATAGCAGAATCTTAACTAAAAAGAAAGTGAAAAATTAACTGGTCTGTGCTGTTTGGGGACTAGATCAAGCAAAGTCACTTCTGAAAAATTTAGCCATTTTGTTCCATTTTCCTCCTTAAGAAGTATTTTTTTGGCCCGTGCCTAAAATAGGTTTCTAAAGGTGCTAACACCATATAAAATTACAGATTAGTTCGATAGATCCTCAGTCTCTATTACTTTTCCAGCATAGGGAATCCATTCAGGTTAAATTAAAAAAATAAATAAATAAGTTTCCATAAAACACTGGAGACAAAAGAGACATGAAATTAAAAGAACTTACTTGTTATTCCTCTTGATCTCTGACAAAGGTGCTTTTACTAAGTCTGGAGCCTTGACCTACACATTATCAGAATGCATAGCTCCAGGGTGACACCCTTGTTTTTAGGTTCAGAGAAGAGACCAGCCTTAGATATTAGTTTTGCATCTCTTTGGATGGCAGAATATTATAGATAAAACTAGTTATCCTTCAGTGAGTGGCCACCCACTTGGACTGTTTGCATACAGGAGTTCACTATCGCCAAGGACTAAGTAGTATACCTATCTTGCAGATTAGGAAATTAAGGGTAAAGGATCCCCTTTAACAAAAGTAGCAGTCAGGATTCAAAACCCACAAAGTAGCACTCAGGATTCAAAACTACATCTTCTGAGTCTATATTCAGTGAACACAGTGTATACATCTTAACATTTCATCTAAGCAGCATCCATGGGTTTATAAAAACACGTGGCCTGCAAGTAAACTGTCTTAAAGGTACAAAGCCTTTTAGCAAAATAAAGATATCTGTGTACGTATATATACATAGATGTACGTTTATCACCAAACATGGTTCTGAATTTTTTTTTACTTTAGGAAAGCTAATGTCACAAGAGTAGCATCAACAGATGTTTAAAGCGGAATAGTTCCCTAATCATTTAATAAAGTCATGTAGCTGCTCAAATTTACTACCACCATCCCTGCTATTAGAAATCTGTAATCACTGGTGAGTTCATCTCGGTTTGAATCCTGGCTCTGCGTGATTTGGGGCAAGTTGCTTAATTTCCCTGTGCTGCAGTTTGCACGTCTGTAAGAATGATCTGCCACATAGGGATGTGGCGAGAAATGAACGCTCACTACAAATCAAGTGTTTTATAGCAGGACCGGACCATGGGAAACGCTCTAACCATGTTAGCTGTCATCTCTAAGGCCCTTCCAGTTCTGACAAATTAACGCACGACTTGAAAGTGTATTTAACACCTTAGTAAAGACCTTCTACAGTAGTTATACGGAGAGGCGCTCAGGAACCCCGGGCACAGGCTACACGTGGCTGTCCAGAGGTTCTGGACTGTTGCGCCTACAGACTGCAGGAGACGAGTATCTACCACTCCTGGGCTGCAGAAACCGCGGAGCAGATTTAGTACGCATAGAAGCCAGGAAAGCTAGTTAAAAACGCCCCGCCTGCCCCACACAGGCGGCAGGTCCCGGGTGGGCCCGGACTGTAAGGTGAACAAGCCCGAAGGGCCTCGCTGTGACTGGGCGGAAGCCAGTCCGGAGATTAACGGTTAACGAACGCGAGCCGACTCCTGGCAGAGCCACAGCGCTCAGAAGGGCCGGGAGCATAGGCCAGACGACAGCCCGCCCCACCAGCTCCAGGCCACCGCCGGCGCCGCCGGCGGAAGCCCGACCTGAGGCCCGCAGCCCGGCCGGAAATAGCGGCGCTCGCGAACCCCGCCCAACCCCGCCGCGAGAGCTGAATTTACCTTTAGTCCCTTGCTCCGCCTCCGCAAGTACTGCCAGCAGCGGAGGCCGCGTGACTCTCCCGCGGAGCCAGGCCTCCGACCGAGGCTCGGAGCTTCCGCGGGGCGGGGCAAGCCGCCCACGTGACCCGAGAGCGCCTGCCGCCGGAGACTGCCTCAGTGGCCCTGAGGGCTGATGACCGCCGTCCCCAGCTGGCAGCTGGTCAACCGCTCTCTGCCTAGGCTTACGAACTGACAGTCGTGAAAGTGTGCTTGACAACCGTAGGTAGCATCTATTTTAAAATATGTGTTAATCTTACTACATTTATCCACATTTTACATGCATCCACGATCTCCCTTTCAGGAATTTACCTTATAAAATATTTACAGAAGTTCATCACGATGCGTATAATCTATGTGTAAGGATGCTTACTGCCACGAAAGAATTAAGAATAGCTAAAGTGATCAGCAAGAAGGGAATGGTGGTCAAATAAAATATGGTGTAGACATGTGAATTACTTTGTAGCCACATACCCAACAGATATCATGAATGTAATTAATATTAAAAAGGAAAGGATACAATACACAATTCTTTGGTGTAAATATAAATATTTCTCATGATACAAATAGATATGTATGTATGTAAGCTTTTTATAAGATTTTTTTAAAAAAACTTAATTGGTTGCATTAGAGGTGGTAGATAAGTTTTTGAACTTTGCTGTTTCTCTGTATACTTTGTGAATTTGAAAAAAAAATGAAAAACAACACCTCCCACTTGTATTCAAAGCTGGAAGCTAGTTGAGTCTAGCATGTTTTTTATTTTTTTATTTTTTATTTTTGGTTTATTTATTTATTTATTTATTTTTCAATATATGAAATTTATTGTCAAATTGGTTTCCATACAACACCCAGTGCTCATGCCAAAAGGTGCCCTCCTCAATACCCATCACCCACCCTCCTCACCCTCCCACCCCCCATCAACCCTCAGTTTGTTCTCAGTTTTTAAGAGTCTCTTATGCTTTGGCTCTCTCCCACTCTAACCTCTTTTTTTTTTTTTTTCCTTCCCCTCCCCCATGGGTTTCTGTTAAGTTTCTCAGGATCCACATAAGAGTGAAAACATACGGTATCTGTCTTTCTTTGTATGGCTTATTTCACTTAGCATCACACTCTCCAGTTCCATCCACGTTGCTACAAAGGGCCATATTTCTTCTTTCTCATTGCCAAGTAGTACTCCATTGTGTATATAAACCATAATTTCTTTATCCATTCATCAGTTGATGGACATTTAGGCTCTTTCCATAATTTGGCTATTGTTGAGAGTGCTGCTATAAACATTGGGGTACAAGTGCCCCTATGCATCAGTACTCCTGTATCCCTTGGGTAAATTCCTAGCAGTGCTATTGCTGGGTCAAGGGTAGGTCTATTTTTAATTTTTTGAGGAACCTCCACACTGTGTTCCAGAGTGGCTGCACCAGTTTTCATTCCCACCAACAGTGCAAGAGGGTTCCTGTTTCTCCACATCCTCTCCAGCATCTATAGTCTCCTGATTTGTTCATTTTGGCCACTCTGACTGGTGTGAGGTGATATCTGAGTGTGGTTTTGATTTGTATTTGCCTGATGAGGAGCAACGTTGAGCATCTTTTCATGTGCCTGTTGGCCATCCGGATGTCTTCTTTACAGAAGTGTCTATTCATGTTTTCTTCCCATTTCTTCACTGGGTTATTTGTTTTTCGGGTGTGGAGTTTGGTGAGCTCTTTATAGATTTTGGATACTAGCCCTTTGTCCGATATGTCATTTGCAAATATCTTTTCCCATTCCATTGGTTGCCTTTTAGTTTTGTTGGTTGTTTCCTTTGCTGTGCAGAAGCTTTTTATCTTCATAAGGTCCCAGTAATTCATTTTTGCTTTTAATTCCCTTGCCTTTGGGGATGTGTCAAGTAAGAGATTGCTATGGCTGAGGTCAGAGAGGTCTTTTCCTGCTTTCTCCTCTAGGGTTTTGATGGTTTCCTGTCTCACATTCAGGTCCATTCCATTTTGAGTTTATTTTTGTGAATGGTGTGAGAAAGTGGTCTAGTTTCAACCTTTTGCATGTTGCTGTCCAGTTTTCCCAGCACCATTTGTTAAAGAAACTGTTTTTTTTCCATTGGATGTTCTTTCCTGCTTTGTCAAAGATGAGTTGGCCATACGTTTATGGGTCTAGTTCTGGGGTTTCTATTCTATTACATTGGTCTATGTGTCTGTTTTTGTGCCAATACCATGCTGTCTTGATGATGACCGCTTTGTAGTAGAGGCTAAAGTCTGGGATTGGGATGCCTCCTGCTTTGGTCTTCTTCTTCAAAATTACTTTGGCTATTCGGGGCCTTTTGTGGTTCCATATGAATTTTAGGATTGCTTGTTCTACCTTCGAGAAGAATGCTGGTGCAATTTTGATTGGGATTGCATTGAATGTGTAGATAGCTTTGGGTAGTATTGACATTTTGACAATATTTATTCTTCCAATCCATGAGCAGGGAATGTCTTTCCATTTCTTTATATCTTCTTCAATTACCTTCATAAGCTTTCTATAGTTTTCAGCATACAGATCTTTTACATCTTTGGTTAGATTTATTCCTAGGTATTTTATGCTTCTTGGTGCAATTGTGAATGGGATCAGTTTCTTTATCTTTCTGTTGCTTCATTGTTAGTGTATAAGAATGCAACTGATTTCTGTACATTGATTTTGTATCCTGCGACTTTGCTGAATTCATGTATGAGTTCTAGCAGACTTTTGGTGGAGTCTATTGGATTTTCCACGTATAATATCATGTCATCTGCAAAAAGTGAAAGCTTGACTTCATCTTTGCCAATTTTGATGCCTTTTATTTCCTTTTGTTGTCTGATTGCTGATGCTAGCACTTCCAGCACTATGTTAAACAACAGCGGTGAGAGTGGGCATCCCTGTCCTGTTCCTGATCTCAGGGAAAAAGCTCTCAGTTTTTCCCCATTGAGGATGATGTTAGCTGTGGGCTTTTCCTAAATGGATTTTATGATGTTTAAGTATGTTCCTTCTTCCCCGACTTTCTCAAGGGTTTTTATTAAGAAAGGGTGCTGGATTTTGTCAAAGGTCTTTTCTGCATCGATTGACAGGATCATATGGTTCTTATCTTTTCTTTTATTAATGTGATGATCACGTTGATTGATTTGCAAATGTTGAACCAGCCCTGCATCCCAGGAATGAATCCCACTTGATCATGGTGAATAATTCTTTTTATATGCTGTTGAATTCGATTTGCTAGTATCTTATTGAGAATTTTGGCATCCATATTCATCAGGGATATTGGCCTGTAGTTCTCTTTTTTTACTGGGTCTCTGTCTGGTTTAGGAATCAAAGTAATACTGGCTTCATAGAATGAGTCTGGAAGTTTTCCTTCCCTTTCTATTTGTTGGAATAGCTTGAGAAGGATAGGTATTATCTCTGCTTTAAACGTCTGGTAGAACTCCCCTGGGAAGCCATCTGGTCCTGGACTCTTATTTGTTGGGAGATTTGTGATACGATTCAATTTCTTCGCTGGTTATGGGTCTGTTCAAGCTTTCTATTTCCTCCTGATTGAGTTTTGGAAGAGTGTGGGTGTTCAGGAATTTGTCCATTTCTTCCAGGTTGTCCAATTTGTTGGCATAATTTTTCATAGTATTCCCTGATAATTGTTTGTATCTCTGAGGGATTGGTTGTAATCATTCCATTTTCATTCATGATTTTATCTATTTGGGTCATCTCCCTTTTCTTTTGTCATTTTGTTTATTTTTTAAAAAAACCAACTCTTGGTTTCGTTGATCTGCTCTACAGTTTTTTTAGATTCTATATTGTTTTTTTCTGCTCTGATCTTTATTATTTCTCCTCTTCTGCGGGGTTTAGGCTGCCTTTGGCTGTTCTGCTTCTATTTCCTTTAGGTGTGCTGTTAGATTTTGTATTTGGGATTTTTCTTGTTTCTTGAGATAGGCCTGGATTGCAATGTATTTTCCTCTCAGGACTGCCTTCGCTGCATCCCAAAGCGTTTGGATTGTTGTATTTTCATTTTCGTTTGTTTCCATATATTTTTAATTTCTTCTCTAATTGCCTGGTTGACCCACTCATTCTTTAGTAGGGTGTTCTTTAACCTCCATGCTTTTGGAAGTTTTCCAGACTTTTTCCTGTGGTTGATTTCAAGCTTCATAGCATTGTGGTCTGAAAGTATGCTTGGTATAATTTCAATTCTTGTAAACTTATGAAGGGCTGTTTTGTGACGCAGTATATGATCTATCTTGGAGAATGTTCCATGTGCACTCAAGAAGAAAGTATATTCTGTTGCTTTGGGATGCAGAGTTCTAAATATATGTGTCAAGTCCATCTGGTCCAATGTGTCATTCAGGACCCTTGTTTCTTTATTGACCGTGTGTCTAGATGATCTATCCATTTCTGTAAGTGGAGTGTTAAAGTCCCCTGCAATTACCACATTCTTATTAATAAGGTGGCTTATGTTTATGAGTAATTGTTTTATATATTTGGGCGCTCCGGTATTCAGCGCATAGACATTTATAATTGTTAGCTCTTCCTGATGGATAGACCCTGTCACTATTATATAATGTCCTTCTTCATCTCTTGTTACAGCCTTTAATTTAAAGTCTAGTTTGTCTGATATAAGTATGGCTACTCCAGCTTCCTTTTGGCTTCCAGTAGCATGATAAATAGTTCTCCATCCCCTCACTCTCGATCTAAAGGTGTCCTCAGATCTAAAATGAGTCTCTTGTAGACAGCACATAGATGGGTCTTGTTTTTTTATCCATTCTGATACCCTATGTCTTTTGGTTGGCGCATTTAATCCATTTACATTCAGTGTTATTATAGAAAGATATGGGTTTAGAGTCCTTGTGATGTCTGTATGTTTTATGCTTTAGCGATGTCTCTGGTACTTTGTCTCACAGGATCCCCCTTAGGATCTCTTGTAGGGCTGGTTTAGTGGTGACAAATTCCTTCAGTTTTTGTTTGTTTGGGAAGACCTTTATCTCTCCTTCTATTCTAAATGGCAGACTTGCTGGATAAAGGATTCTCGGCTGCATATTTTTTCTGTTCAACACATTGAAGATCTGTGCCAATCCTTTCTGGCCCTCTTCCGTGGG